TCACGAAAAAAAAAAAAAAAAAAAAAAAAAAAAAAAAGTCTGAACTCTAAATCATTGTGTGTAAACCACATTTTGCCTGGGAGCAAGCAGCTGAAATTCATGGCTAAGTGTAATCAGCTATTGGTCATTTTTGGAGCCACAGAAGCTCTGTGGACCTTTTAGAACAACGATTTATACAGAACACAGGCACAGGATGTACAGGTATGTGTGTATATATATAAATAAATAAATATATCTATAGCTAGCTGAAGATGAGGCATACTCTTCTTCAGGAGGGGGTCTAACTGGCTAGTTAGGAAGCCACTCAGGGCTGAAGGATCGCGGATCGGTGCCTCCCTGGCTTTGGGGTCTTCCCGAGTCAGGTGTTCTGGTAGGACAGCTCAAACATGGTGCAAGCCTCCTCTAGGCTCTCATCCATGTTCAGCCTCTGCCAGAAAGACTTCTGCTTCTTCTGCAGCTCTCGGCGGACACACCTCGGGCAGGGGACAGACTTTTCTTTGCATTCAGAATGGAAAACTGCTCCACAGCTTTCACACCTGCAAAAGTCAAGCATGGATATGATGAGCAAGACTGAAATGAGCAGGACACAGACACGTGAAGTCCAGTGGTCTCCGGTGCAGCTTGGGACCCAATCTGTTATTCTGGACAACGCCGCCAAAGAGAAGAGAAATGACTCATAGAAATGGGCTGCTTCCTTTTCCAAAATGCTCAAGGCTGAATTTCACTTGCAAAACATTTTTTTTTTTTTTTTTTCTGATTAGACCTAGGCTGGGGAGAGGTGCATGGGTACGAGCAGAGCGGAGGCAGCAGCTGACTAGCAACTGCTGCTGCATGCAGTGGACAGAGCGCTAGATCTGTGTGTCCGTTTCCTCACCAGTGAGAAAGAAGCTGGCTAGTAACTCTGGAGTGAAGTGGCAGAAAACAAGGGGAAGTGCCCTGCCAACCGAAAACACGCCCCACACCAGTGCCAACCCCAGCGCTAACTCCAGCGCTACATCTGTGCAAATGTAGCTTCTACTTTACTAACATGAGCTGCGTGGTTCTCTGTTATCTCACTGCCTTTATTTGACAGTTTGAAAAGGTAAAATGACACAGTTTCATGTTCTGAATGATAGCCTGTGGTTTCTTACTCTTGTGAGTTTTTTAGAAATTAGGAAAAATTGCCCACCTTTACAAGTCTACCTTTAAAACAGAAGTGTGAACAGTAAAGCACGAGAGAGTGGGGAAGAAAACATCTTTCCCCCAACACACGACACTATTGTAATTTATGGTGTGGAGACATTCCAGGTGGATGACTGGTTTGTTGTTTGGTTTAGTGGAAGCCTGCACAGGAATCTGAATAGCTTGTTTTTACTGCAACGTTTTTAGTAATGAGTCCCTGACAAGATCAACTATAGATGGCCCAGTGAGTGGCTTGCCAATGTGAACTCAGTTCTCCTCCCACACACGAGGGACAAGCGACTTGCAGGGAATTGCACCTGCATGACTTTGTCCAGCCAGCAGCTCGGGGAGGCTCCCTGGTGGACTGGGTTCATAGAGGGCTGTGCAAGAAACAGTTCTCAGGGCTCAGCCTCAGCATCCTTTGCTTTTCCCACAGTACCTTGCATTTCAGTCCTGGGCCTAGGATGGTCATGTGGACCCTACTCCCTAGCCTGCCACCACCTTACCCTGGCACCATTCAGGATTCAGAGGGTTTAGCCAAAGGAGGATCTTTCTACCCACCCTCATACCATGGAGAGAAAAGCAGTGGCTTGGGAGGAGAGACTCAGGGGATGGGGGGGGAGGGGATTGTTCTAGCTGAGAGACCAGGACAGGAGCTTCGCTGCACCCAGTAGCCACTCCCCCAGCTCAGTCTCTGGCCAAGGGAGGCACAGCGGTGGTTAGCAGGGCAGGCCAAGGGCTTCAGAGCCCTTCCTGGCTGTATGATCACTATGGACCCAGTTGTGTTCCCCTGGAAGTCGTATACTGAAGCTCTAACTCCCAACATGACTGTAGTTGGAGATAGGGTGTTTAGGAAGTAATTACAGTTAAACAGGTCATAAGGGTGAGACCCTGATCCGATAAGATTAGTGTCCTTAGAAGAAGAGACAACAGAGAGAAGCTTCTTTCTCCTTCTCCCCATGCTCAGAGGAAAGGCCATGTGAGGACACAGAGAAAGAGGCCGACTACAAGCCAGGAAAGGACCCAACCCTGCTGGCACCTTGATCTGAAACTTCCGGCCTCCAGAACTGTGAAAAACACATTTCTGTTTAAGCCTCCAGTGTGTGGTAGTTTGCATGGCAGCCCAGCAGACTAAGACAATGACTCTGAGCGAGTTACTTCAGCTTTCTGAGTCTCCTTATGGGCTTATTGAAGATAATGTTAGCACCCTCTTCACAGCGGTGCTTCTTCGAGTCTCAAATAAGATTACGATAGAGTGTTGAGCATGGTTCCTGGCACATGATAAGTGCTTAATAACACAGCTAGTACTGCTCCATCGAGTGAGCCCCTCAGGCTGCTGCTGCCTTTCTGTGTGGCTCCATCTCAGCCTGACTTCACCTGTGTCGCAACGGTGGTCTGCGGACATCTCAATCAACCCCCTCATTTCATACATGAGAAAACTGAGACTCGAAGAGGACTAGTTATTATCTCCTGGGGACACATGGGGATGAAGGTCAGACCCAGGTCTCCTAATGCCTCTCTTGTCTGGGCCAGTTCCTCGCCAGTGGCAGTGGCTTTGTCCCCAGAGGGTCACACCTCTGTAACCTTCTATCACTGAAGTGACACTAATGGTAGCTTTATCAAATAAATTTCCTCCTTCCTGCCCCCTGTGCCCTGCTGGGTTAGTCAGTGATTTACACACCTGGGGATGCTGCCCAAGGGCAGTGATTGATAAGGAGAGAAGGCGCCGGGTTCCTTCAGAACCACTCCCTACCTCTGCTGATACTGGCCCCCAGTGAGTGAAGAGATTGAGTCTTATCTCGTATTTCTGGTGCCACAAACACCCATAGGGTGGTGGAGAAACCCAGTGCACCTGCTCTTTCTAGCCAAAGGTCAGTAACTGAAGAAAAAGTATGAGATAAAAAAAAAAAAATGATTTCAAAATAGAACCAAGTTCTATTTTCTAACAATTTGTAACCCAGTAGACAGCCTTTAAACTGTCGTATGGATAGATTGATCAATGACGTTCCCAAATTCAGAGATCTATAGTTAATCCCTCCCCCTCCCCCTGGTGTTTTTTTTTTTTTTTAAAGGAAAAGAATAAGAGCAGGGAAAGGAAGGAGAAAGAAAAACTGTTCTCGCACATAAAATTTATGGAGTTCTGTAATAAAAATGTAGTGTGCAGGAAAAATAAATTATTTACATTAAAAAATGCAATATATAGGTGTGCCGTTCTTTGAGAATAGGACTTTATTAAAAAGGATTTTTCACTTTATAAAGATTCATTGGCTCCCGAGTGTTAACTGAGTTTCCTGACTGTATTTAAAATATGATTTAACACACATAACTTTTCTGGAACCCTTCTTTCATGTGAGGCAAATCTACCCATGTAATCACCTCTGCTGAAAACTGCAACAGGTAATGAAAGAGAAGTGTCCCTTTGGTGTTCCTGCATGACACATCAGATGAAAGCAATGTCTTCAGTTCTGAGTCATCCAATCCCAGCAATAAGCAGGTTCACTGCTTTTTGGTTGTTGCTCTATGCCCCAGAAAACGAAAACCTTATGTCTTCCCTTTCCAGTGCCATGGAGAATGCACCTGCAGGGAGAGCCATGTTTGCTCTTGACCAAAGTCATCCAATTGGTTTTTCCATTTTTTTCTTGAACGCATTCATGCTTCATTTACTCTAGGGATCTCAGCCTCAGCACTATTGACATTTTGGGTTGAATAGTTCTTTGATGTGGAGGGCTGTCCTGTAAACTGTAGGATGTTTAGCAGCATTCCTGGCCTCTACCCACTAGATGCCAGTAGCAAACCTTCCTGCCCTGCCCCCATCCCCACCTCCAAGATGTGACAACCAACAATGACTCTAGGCACTGCCAAATGCCCCTAGGGGACAAAAATCATCCCTGTTAAGAACCACTGACCGAATCTATCTGAAAAGGCATCACAGAGGGGCTCCAGGGGATACATAAAGAGCACACCTCTCACTGAATTTGCAAGTGTCTCCTGTTGGCTTATACTCTTACCAACCAGCAAGGTCCAGTGTATTGTCCTTATTCATATAACTTTCACAAATATATATTTTTAACACATCATTTGATTTAAATAGCTGAAACTCACTAGCATTAACTGTCCAGTGGTTTCTAAAAATAATTTAGAACATCATTTATTTATTTATTTATTTATTTTTTCCTTTTTGTCTTTTTTTGTGACCGGCAACGGATCGCAACCCTCAGTGTCGCGCCCGTACCGGACCGGGACCGGCAACAGGATCGCAACCCTCGGTGTTGCGCCCGCACCTCGCTCAGCCAGTGAGCCGCCGGTCTGTGTGTTGCGCCCGCACCTCGCTCAGCCAGTGAGCCGCCGGTCTGTGTGTTGCGCCCGCACCTCGCTCAGCCAGTGAGCCGCCGGTCTGTGTGTTGCGCCCGCACCTCGCTCAGCCAGTGAGCCGCCGGTCTGTGTGTTGCGCCCGCACCTCGCTCAGCCAGTGAGCCGCCGGTCTGTGTGTTGCGCCCGCACCTCGCTCAGCCAGTGAGCCGCCGGTCTGTGTGTTGCGCCCGCACCTCGCTCAGCCAGTGAGCCGCCGGTCTGTGTGTTGCGCCCGCACCTCGCTCAGCCAGTGAGCCGCCGGTCTGTGTGTTGCGCCCGCACCTCGCTCAGCCAGTGAGCCGCCGGTCTGTATGTGGGATCCGAACCCTCAGCGGGAGCGCCGCTGCGCTCCCAAGTGGCGCACTGTAGCAGTGTGCCACCGGGCCGGCCCCTAGAACATCATTTAAAAAGCCAATACCCATGACACAATTCTGTGCATTGCTCAGTAACCCCTTAACTTTCTATCAACTCACTTTGTTTTCCAGTTCTACCCCAAAGCCATCTTGGTGGTTGGCCCCAAGTCACATTTATTTGCTCTTTGGCCAAAGAACCTCTAGGCTATTTCTCTGTAGTGTTTTCTGCTTCTTCATGCCCTACCTAGGCCATCTAGCAAATCAAAGCCAAAAACTTTTACATTTGCTTCATAAAATAAATTGCTTTTATGGAACTGTGAAGCAATTAGGTTTCAGTAACTTCTGCAATGAAAAAGAGGTTGCTTACTGCAGAGAGGAGAGCTCCACTAGTGAGGAGTCCTCAGTCCTCAGTCCAGGTGGGCCCTGGTGTCACAGGTAACTTGGGTAAGTTACTTCATTCCCAAATCTCACTCTCCAGAGAAGTAAAAGAGAAGGTTCTGTTAGATGGCATCTCAGGTTCCTTCCAACTTGTAGATTTTGTGTGGGGGTGGAAAAGCTGCTCTGGATTTTACCAATCTCTACAAATTTTCTTGCTCCCAGGTTTGTGGATGAATGAATGGGAATGTAGCTTTGCTACTTCCTCCTGAAAAAGTCTCAAACTGACAAGCTGC